ACAGCTGTATATGCTGAAGGGATAGGTACCTACTGCCCTAATGTACCAAGCTGTGCATGGTACCAGGATGGAAGGAGCCAATTAACTTGCCTGGCATATTCTGTGCTGCTTGTCTTGTTGTTTCCCTCATGTGGTGGCTGCTGTGCTATGCTGGAACACAAAGACTGTTTATTGTGACTGAATAAACCACATATGTTTGACATGTTGTGTAACTTTGTATCCCAAATCCACATTGATGCCTCCTGTGAGCTGTGAAACACCCAGCTGACCATGTTTCCACTGCTTTCAATTGTCTGGGACATTCCTGCAAAAGCTGGTGCTGCTTAGAGATGGTTTGGGGAAACCTTCCCCTTGGCTTATCCTGTAGGGTTCATCCACTTCACATGGGAAGCAAGGCTAGGTGTCCTTGGTACGGTCTTTATCGTTGGTGCTGAAGGACATTTCCATGAATTCATCTCTGGAGCTTTGGACCTGTGACTAACCAGGCAATGGGTCTAGTCCAGCCAAAGGGGGTGGGAATTTGGAAGCAAGTAGTGATTCACTCTTCTGGGTTTGTTTCCACCTTCCATGAGTTGCCCTAGCATTTTCACATGGTGTTCATGCTCTTACGATTGCCCCCCCCCCCCCCCCCCCAGCTGTGGTATTGAGGTGACTACACATGGCAAAGGACGACAAAGTGGTTTCAGCATACTGTCCATCTGAAGGTTTAATACACAGTAAGCATAGCTCATCTGCCCCATCAAGCCACTCATCATGCCAAAACACTATTGCTTTGTTCAGGTATCAACCACAATTAGTCATTCATACTCCCAGGTGCCATGGACTTGTCTTTTAGAGACTTGTCTGCCAAGGAAATAATATGGTGATATGAATGCTAATCTGTACAGTGAATCTTCATCATGGTTAACTTGTAAGAATGTTTTTACCTTATTACTAAAGCAATTGTTCCCTTTTCTGAAACCAACACAATATTGAATGTTTATGCACTACTAAATGCACAGGGCTTGGCCATATGTCTTAATGTCATTTAATTTTAATGAAGCTTTGACAAAGGGTTGATAAGGAACACTGCTTGCTAGCACACATTAGCTTATCAGATCATATAAACAATGCAATTCCAGCTAAACATAAGGTGTGTGTTTTTTTTTTTTTTTTTTTCACATTAGCTTATCAGATCATATAAACAATGCAATTCCAGCTAAACATAAGGTGTGTTTTTTTGGTTTTTTTTTTTTTTGAATGGACCACCTATCTCCAGTAACGCACAGCAAGGTTTACTGAGTTAGTGCTGCACACCACATAACTGGCTTGGTAATATCATGGGAGAGAGAAACAAACTGTCGGTGAAACAGCTCAGCAGCTGCAACATCTTTAGAAAAAGGATGTGGATAAATGGGGTGAAAAACATCAATGTCTGAGGCTGTCTTCAAAACTTGAACCTTAAAGTAAAGAGAACTTGGATTATATCATGATAATTCATATCCACTGATATGAAAAAAATTATTGCGATAAAATATTTGCTATCTTGCCCAGTATTAATGCACAGTGAATGTTCATGTTTCTACTGTAATTTGTTTCTCCAAAAAGCAGCAGAGAATAATAATGCACTATTAAATGCACTGAGATTGTGATAGCTGCTCTACCAGCCAAACAGAGTTAAAGCTTAGGCTCTGTTTTCCAAATTCATCGTACATTCTTTAGATATTTAGTTATTTGCAGCAGTTATTAATCCATGCATCATGCCATTCGTTTGTTAGTATTTACTTCATTATATTTACTTTATTGACACTTTAATTGCATATGTTTCTGGATGAAGATACCCGCATTTAGGCATTAGACATTAAGTTAATGGTTTGTTTATTTTCAGTTACCTTTGTGTTTGCTGTCCAGGAATGGCCTTTGCTGGGGGTGGGGTGGGGGGTAATTGTGGCAGCAGGGTAAAAGCTGTCACACCAGTAACAAGAAATCAGACTGCTCCTCATTAGTAGTATGTTGTGGATGTAGTCGAGTTTCAACTTTTCTTTTCCTTAATCTTTGAGTTTATGATTTGCAATGATATTGATTTGGTGATATATTTCGTCGGACATTTGGTTTCTGAATTGTCTTGTGAATTTACTTTCGTTATTTGGTTAATTGTTTGATGTCTCTTCCGCTTTGTCTGATCGTTTGGCCAAGCATGGCTAAGGGTGAGTTACTAGTTGTTACTGTTCTTATGGTGGCTTAAGTTTAATTTAATTATGTATGACAGTTTGGGTTTATTTCAACTTAAGTTTATTTTTGTTGTGTTAATTTTGTAAATGATCGCAATAACACCTTTTCCTTTAAAAACCTCCCTGTGTCCTTGAGCCTGACCTGCTTGGTCCATCACATAGATATTTGAAGTAACATTGGAAATTTTGATAAAGTATAAAATTAAATTAAAAAAATGTATAGTGATTTAATTTGGAAGCATTTGTGATTTACGGGCGTAAATCATTGGTCCCAAGGTTATGATTCTATTACATTGAAATGTTCTCTCAATAATAGTATCAGAAATTTTTTAATTTCTTGTTACAGCACATCACGATGAGAGTGACGATCCATACCTGATGACAACAAGGGGCGTTATTGAAATTGGACAGACTAATGAAAACAAAAGGGGACACGGGAGATCAAAACAGAAAGAGAAGATAAAACACACACTAAAAGGACTGTGACGTAATATATAAGGAAAAAACTAAATCCAAGAGATTTGGCCCGGGAAGGAACAAGAAAGAAACACATGCACACAGGAACAAACCAACAAACTCAATGACTAACTGAGGAACACAATAAAGGCAGGCAGTAAAATACACATGAGACAAGGGCTAGACAAGGCACAGGTGAGTGTAACAGATTAACCAAACACTGAAGACTAGAGTAACAAGGCACAGGTGAGGATACTTAACTACACTTCAGATTCAAACACTAGGAGAAGCTGGGAACATTGGTACATCCAAACAGGAAAGGCTAGTGCCCGGTTTGTATGTAAGTCCTGTGTTTGAGTAGTTGTTAATAACTCACACCTGTCCCTTGTCTAGACCTCATTATCAGTGTTTAAGGGTACCTGCCCATTCCCTTTTCCCCTGTTGGCAATTAAATGTGTTTCCTGAGCGTGCTTGAAGTTAGATGGTCCCTGCTGTGTACTCTGTCCTATTTCTGTGTCCTCAGTGTACATTTCAAAGTGTAGTTTGAGCCTTGTTTAGTCCTTGTACAGCAGACCTCCCTCTGTGTAGACCTCTTGCGGTCCCTGTGATTTTGTGTTTGAGAATAAAGTTCCCTGAACTCCAAAGCTGCCTGCTGGACCGTGATCCATACCCAGACGTGACAGCTACCTGGGGGGGGGGTGAACCTTGCCGAGCTTGCCGGCACAGGTTAGGAAAATAACAGTAGATACTTTTTATAGTCTGTGAAAAGACAAAGATCGATTTTCGGCAGAGATATGATAATGAATTCTAAACATGTTCTGGGCCAGTGCTAAACGGTGAATGAGCTGATGCAATCCCTCACCCTGTATTGCAGAGAGCTTCCGATGCTATAAAACAGGGACAAGTGTCCCAAAAGTGTTGTAGCACCAAGATCATCAGGTAATGCTTCCTTTATGAATATCTCTGAACCTTCCCCTGCCATCCTACACTTCAGAAATTTGCAAGCCGGCACTGTTACTTTGTGTATCTCCCTGCAGCACTTGAATGTGAGAGGAAACAACCCAGAAGTAGGAGTATCTATCTTATGCCTAAAAATCAACGTTGACGTTTTCTGATTGATGCATTGAATTGTCACCATAATGACTGATTCACCACAATGCATCTCTACACCCCTAATATCTTTATTTGTGTAATTGTTTTTTTCCACTGATCCCTCTCTGATGCCATTAAGACAATATCTACCTAGATGGACCATATTTATGCCTACGGACCTCACACACACACACACACACACACACACACACACACACACACACACACACACACTATGCAAGTATCCCAGTTTGGGGTTTGGAAAATCTGGTCACCCTACATAAAGGTAAATAAATCATTAGATCGTGCATCTTACATTAAAATGCTTTTCCAGGTGAGACTTTGGATGCTTACATCCACTTCAGGAATGTTTTCCTTCCCCTGAGCATGGTCACGCTCCCTGAAACTCCCAATGCAGTATAGGACCAGTGGCAGTGCATGCTGGGGGA